AAAAATGTGGGGAGCTGTCATGATGGATTAACCTCACAGTCTTTTCTCAGGCATATTTGTTAGCGCTTTAAAATGGCTCATGAATTGTTAATTTGTCTGCCATATGAAAAGTGCTCGAAATATGGTGTTACAGAATTATAGTACAATCCGGCTCCTCACAGCTGGCAATTCCAGAGCAAAAATGTGACACTAAGTTTACATTCTTTAATGCCTGTGGTTATGATCTCAATAATTTTTAGCAGAGGGTCTACTGATAGATCCATTCTTGAATGAGATGTTTCTCTTTCCGTGGAAATAATGTGGGATTGTGGGCTTGGTTCCTTCTTTGTCTCCACCTGTGATCTACCTGCATATTTCCAAATAAATAAAATATTACAAAGAAACTGTCTTCTGGGCCCAAACTACCATTGGCCCTGAAACTTCCCACCATTCTGATAAATGTGCAGTAAACACCAGTATTTAACATCATCAACTAATGCCTGTAAATACCTTTTATGCAAAGATCTAGTAATGTATATTGGCATCTGAATTAAGAAAAACAACAACAATGAACAGTGGGTGATATATTTGTGGCCTGATCTAGCAAGACAATTTTTAGCTGGAAACTTTTTTGGGGGGGAAGTTTTTCACGGTCAGCTACTTCTCAATATAAAAATTTTATCTAGGTACCTCCTTATGTAACTGTCAGGTGTTTTTATGGCTGGTGTGTCTAGAATTGCCTTCTTTTTATGGACAGATTTTGTGCTTTCAATAGTCAAGGATTATATGAACATCAGCAAACATAGTCCCCTCCCCAACTTTGAAAAAATGATAAACACAGCCAGCTTTTAAGCCTCTGTGGCATAACAGCCTAGAACCTGGGAGAGCCTGATTCAGATTCCCATTCAGTCACGAAGCTCCCTAGGATAGATTTAGGGTTGCCATCTGTTGGTGGGGAAACACCTGGAGATTAGGGGGTGGGGTTTGGGGAGCGGAGGGACCTCATCAGGATACTGTGCCAGAGAGTCTACCCTCCAAAGCAGCCTTTTCTCCAGGGGAACTGATCTCTGTCATCTAGAGATTAACTGTAATTCTAGGAGATCTCCAGGCCTCACCTGGTGGTTGGCAACACTACTTGTATTACTTAAAGGAATGAGTAAACCTTCTACCCATCATCAGAATTTTACATACTATATGTAAAGAGACAGCAGCAAAACGAAAACCTAAACCCTTCCAGGACAGATGAGAGCGCCCAGTTTCAATGAGGAATTTTATCTTTATTTTTGAATGATATTAGCACAGTAAACTCACACAGTAGCATTGATTCTGTACTTATTTAACAAAATACATTTATAGCAATTTACAAATATTTTTTTCCATTTTAAAACAGTGCATAACATTTTATTAGAACACAATACTTTATATAGAATTCTCATTTAAAAACATAGTTCATATTTTTACCCAATTTATTTATTTTTCTCAGTAAAGCACAGCCTGACAAAGAAATTGGTGCCCCATTTTAGCAAGTAAGAAAAAACTAGAAGTTGCCACCGGTCAATTTATTTGATTTGTTTGAAATTAAGGTATCAGTGGAATGTAAACAAAGGTTAATTTTACAAAAGGCTCCAAAATGATATACATAGAGAAGTCTACAGTCCCAATGTATATCTTATTACATTTCCAGTTCTTTAATGTAATAATGTTTCCAAGAAGCCATTATTAAAAAGAGTAGCCTTTGGCACTTCTGAGTAAAAAAAGGAGTATTTTCAATATTTTATGTAAAGAATGCAATCACAATGATTCTGCAAGTGCTTTAAAATTGTTTGTTAGTTAAGTAGGAAAAGTTAAGATAGGAAAAATAGCGTCCTGCACTTGAAAGAATGCAGTGAACTTCAGAGTCCTGAAAGCAACATGTGATACCTTGATATGGCAAGTTAACCCAAAGGAAATAAAACAAGACAAAAAGCAACCACTCCTACCCTCAAACACATGTGCTGTTGACAAAATAAGCTGCTTTGTCAGAAGTGCTAATATCTAGTCCTTGTATTATTGCAGTTGCTTAATTGTCATTTTCCATTTGCCTTCCTTATCACCTATCCCCAACACCCTAGGTCAGCTGTGATTGTACTCTACCTACTCCTTGAAAATACTTTCGACTTGGTGTTGTGAAACTAAGCTGTAACCCATAATCAATCCATGTGTAAAAAAAATAAATCCAAAACACCAGGCATTTACAAATTTGTGAGCTCTGTAATTTTTTGTTAAAAATGTATTAATAGTATAAATGGGAAAGAATTACCCATATCCACTAAGGAAGATCTGCATGCAGACTGCTGTACTAGATTGGAATCTGTAGGTGCAGCAAGATGCTAGACTTGAAAATCCAGCGGCTGGATGCCTGCATCCAGCAACCAGAGCTGTATTGGTTCTTAGTGATGGACTGGGGACCACATATGTGGAGACTCATACAGTGGATATGGTCTTTTGGTCTGTATGGGCATCCCAATATGTCAGCACCTTCCAACCTACCTTCCAGTACTGAAGCAAATGTGCATCTCAGTTCTTTCACTATGCCCAATTTTAACATACACATGAGTCATGCACAACTTATTGTTCCATATGGCTCTCTCTAGATTAAAATACACTCTCCTGTTGTAGAAGAGCACACAATTTGCCCATACCAGACCCAAGGTTACACCAGCTTAATGGCTAGTTAAATTATCTCAAACTTTGAGACCATGTAGAATCACTGCTAGTTTGGGCTACAGGGATCAGGATAGACATGATGTAGAAATCCAAGTGTAAATCCCTGCTTTCTGGATTCACCTGAACAAGTCACCATCTCAGCATAACTTCCTGCACACAATTGTAGTAAGGGTAATGTGACCATCTGAGCTCCTTGGGAAAAGGGTGAGAGACAACATATAATAACTGAAGCTGATTTTGCATCGTTTTTGTCAAGAGAATTGAACTGGTTTGTTTTCACATCTTTCAAGGTTATTTTATTGTGGTTCCCCAAATGGTAGATTTATAAAAAAATATTTTTAAGCCCATGTTCCTCTCAAAGCTAGTGAACCTACCTTGGGCTGCTCCTTTGATTTCCAACATCAATATGAGTGAATACTAGCACTGCACTACATTCTTTAACCATGACCTAAGGAATCTTGTATCCCCTTTCACTGCATCTTCCATTGATTGTACTGCTTCCAAATTAGTAGGTTTTCTCCTTAAAATGCCATCACAACTCCATCTTACTGAAGTTGAGTTATTGGGGTTTTAGGTGGAAAAAGAAACTGCTGAGCTCCCTAACTGAAGACAAAGTTTAATAAGGCTTGTTGCTGAATATTATGTAATCTATCACACAATGTACCATTTGCAAGTTGATTTTGCCATTAGAGCCCATTAAAATTTTTAACATAAAGATCACCCAAATGAACTGGAAATAGTAAAGTAAGTGAGGCAACAATGGGTGGGTGAGAGCTTGGTTGATTCATTAATAGTTTGCCCCAACAAGGGCCAGCCCATCCATTGGATAGGACATTTGCCCAAAGTACCAAGACTGTAAGGATTACCAGGTAGCCAGCTTCCTGAAATCTCAGCCACTGCTGCTACCCTCATTAAAGCTGCCATATTCCATCTGGGATATGGCTCGTGTTCCCTTAAGAAGTTCCACAGTGGTAAAAGGATGTAAAAAAAAAGTATCAACAAAATATTGCCTTGTTTTGAGTGTGTAAAAGGGCAAAAACTTGGCAACCTGAATATCCAGCAACTTGGCAGCTGCTATTTCATTTCAGCCCCCATTTGTAGATTCTAAGGGTGGGTATTTTGATTGCCTTACATTCTCTGATCATGCTCCCCAGTCATGTTTAGGTTACCTTCGGAGCTGGCGCAGAGAAGAGGAATTGAGGGCACACAAACTTACGCATAGGCTCATGGCTTGACTAGGATTTTCCTCTACCTAAGATCAGTCCTGTTCATGCACTAGGCAGCCTGGATTGTATATTATTTTCATCTTTAGAACACAGTTGCCATGATCACTGTCGAGAATTAGCTAGTTAGTAGTGAACAAAAAAAAGGAAAGATCAGTAATGAGACAAATTTCAAAATGGTTAAAAAAGATAGGCTGTGAAAGAGTGCAGTAAACTCCAGTTTAGAAAATAAAAACCCCATTAGCTCACTATGAAGTGACATTTTCATTAGTAGCACCTGTAACTAAACATTTTTTTTCAGAGCAGCAGCAAAACTAACCAGGAGAGAAAGTGATTCGGTTTTTATGGAACGTCACCCACATTTTTTTGTTTAGTCTGGTAAACATTTCAAAGAACTACACAAAACCTTTGCAACCTTTTAATGTGAAAGATCCACTATAACAAAGCGGTCAATATTTTTCTACTCTAAAATGAATGCAGCCAGCATTATATTTTCAGCAATATTACTTGAAAAGAAATTACATGTCAAAAATGTCATGTGTCTCTAGAGCTGCACAGGTATGTAAGTTTTCCAAAAATGTTAAGGTAGAATCAGCACCGACTTGTATTAAATTTTGGTGCAAAACCCGCAAAGGTGAACATACAACACTGGTACAGCTTTTGCTGTTAAAAAAACACTCTCCCATTTGTCCTTGGACCTATATATGTAGCTATATATAAATAAAAACATTGGCACATTCAGGAAATAAGGTGTCTAGATTTAAGATCACTGCCTTTGTTGACATCATTCCCATTGGAGAAATAACTGGAATCCAAACAAAAACAAAAACAAACCCCAAACCAAAAACCTGTTAGGAAACTCTTCCTGTTGGTTAGGTTCTTGCATTGTGCTTTCCCCCCCTGCAACATGAAATCCACAAACTCATGCACAATCACTACACATCAGCAACATCCAAAAACAGTCAGGCTGATGGTTGATATTTTGGCACATTAAGATTATTTCGGCATCAGCTCAAAAATAAAGAGAGCACAAAAGCTCATATCAAACAGTATTGATTGTTAGTGGCATTGCTTGGCTGGAGTCATCAGTTTTCATTCTTTGTAAGCTCTTGTTGGAGATGTTCCTTTGTAGAAGATGTTCCTGGTATTTTCTGGGCTGCTGCCTCTCTCTGGAATTAAAATGATATTACCTTTTCTTCGAAGTGTGGAGTCGCGGCTAGAGGAAATGGACAGGGTCTCTGAACCAATCTCACTGCCTTCCACCGGCGTGACCCTTATTGTAGTTATCCCATGATGGTGGTGCTCACTGTTATCAATGTTGCTTCTTTTTCTGTCACTGGATCCATAACTGTCTTTCAAAGATTCGCAGCTCTCAGAGTCCCTGTTCAGATCATTTAGCTCATATGTTTGACGAAGGCTTCCTTTCTCAGGGGCTTTCCACTTCCAGGAGCCACTCCCTTCCCCTTCTGATGGCATCTGAATGACAGGCCTGTTATTTTCAGGATGGGCCTCTACTCTTACTATGCCGCTTGGCTCGTGGTCTGTCAAGGCTTTATATCGGATGGCTCCTGTACAGGTGACTGTGCTGCCTTCAGAGCTCTTAGGGCTGCCCTGAAGCACACCTTGTTGCTTGGACATGGCTATGACCTGCATGATTCTTGGCTGGCTGTTGGTTCTGCATCCAACACTCTTCTCAGCAGCTTTCAACCACTTAGCTCTAGCTGTGCTACTTTTTGGAGATGTGTTGACATTCTCCTGCGTCTCTTCAGGAATATGCACAAGCTGTGAAGAACCGGGGCGTGACTGAATAGAGACCCTCGGCCCACCAGTAAGACCAGCACTGTTACAGCCTGGCACACTACCAGGCTGAATTTTCAGGTACTGATTGGTAGGCCCATGGTGATCCCCATTAACTCCCACTCTGGAGGGCTCAGAGCTTGACCTCATTTCAATTGCTCTCGGGGGTGACTGTCCAGAATCTGTCTCTATTACCTGCAGGGACAACTTACGACTTTCATTCTTGTTCTTCCATTGGGAGAGAAGCTGCTTTGAGCGGGCAGAATCCATAGATGCGTGAATAGTTGCATTCCGACGAGCTGACTCTTCCATTGCAGGTGTATTGGCTCTTGGCAAAGTGTTACTGAAAGTTACCATGTTCTCCTTTCCCATTGGACTTCGTGGTGTTATAATCTCTACATCAGCATTTGCTCTTTTAAGGTTAGTCAGGGAGCCGGTTTCTCTGTGGTTCCTTAACATACTCTCGGCATGGTGAGCAGAGATAACATCGTTGCTACCACCATTTTTACCGGGCAAAATTCTATTGGCATCTTGGCTCAGGTCAGTCAAAGACTTTAATGGTTCTCTGTGCTGGTTCTGATGAAGCATGTTCTCTTCACTTGGCAGAAAGTTCCCCACAGCATACAGGCCCTGGCATTGGGAGAAAAACAGGACCCCATTATGGAAAACAAGTCACTTTACTCATGGTAGCTTCTCATGTGTGGTACTTCAGGCACAATATAACTCTACCAAAATGCTCATATGTGTGCTCAGAGATTAATTTTTTGTTTGTCATTCACAGATGACTTTCTAATGAGTCTTTTGAGTTACCTGCCTGCTTTAGGATGCCCAAGGGGAGAGCCGAATAGGCAAAAACAGAAAAAGGGGTTACCAGGATCTTTAACTTTTCTGTGTTCCTATAAAACAGAGGTGTCAAACTCATTTGCTACGAGGGCTGGATCTGACATAAATGTCACTTTGTCAGGCCAGGCCACGTGTGCCATAAAATGTAATGTCAGGTATCAGAGACATAAACTTTATAAACACAGGCAAACCCAATTAACAATATTAATTTTTTTTACTAAAAATACAAATAAAACTAGCAATTGATTCCTAGCAGTGAAAGCAATTGATTTACTGGGGAACCCACAAAAGCCCCAATAAATGTATTTAATCATATGCAAGACTAGTTTTTTCCCAAGGAATACCACAAAAGGGGAAGTACCTTTCATTTCCATACATACCAATTGATTGCAGGCCGGGTAAGAGTCCTGGATGGGCCACTTCTGGCCCCCAGGCCTTATGTTTGACACCCCTGCTACAGAAGGACAATAGAACCCATCATGCCATCCAGGCACTTATCAGACTTGGATCTGCTTGGCTTTAGCATGATCTGTGTATTCCCTTCCAACCACACCCTAGTCCCTGCAACTCTGCCTTCCAAAACCAATCTTTTGTTATAGGATCAGCAATCTCTATTCATTTTCATAAACTGCTCGGTAGGGGAGATTGGTAGGAGCCATTCAACAACAGTATCTGGAAAGACTAACTGGGTAATCTGCCCCATGCAATTCTGGTGTTAATTCTAAGAAAGCAACACAGACAGTACAGAACTGTCTCCAAATGTCATCTTATTTATTTCAGAATTTTGGTTTACTCCCAGCTTTCTACTAAAATACCGCTTGACTGGTTTTTAAGCAAAAAGCAAATAAAAGGCAACAAAAAGAGCACACAATTAAAAACAATAAATCATGTAACAACAGCACTATAGCCATCAACTAAAAGCAGCAAATAAATTAAAGTAGCAATTTAAAAAGTCCAAATCCAGTCTCTTGAGCTACTTAATTATGAAAACAAGTAGGAGGCACCACAAAACATTACAGTGGCTGCTGTGGGGGCTTGTCCAATCTACAAAATGTTAGGAGGTTTCAACCAAGGCATTCTCCTGTGGGGGAGGAAACTGTTTCTAAATTGGTGCTCCTTGCAGACACAAAGATGATGTCTCCTGGGCTCCTCTTAAGCTTCTTCTGCCTCCAATAAAGTGGAGAGAAACCAGGATTGTTTCTGTTTTGAGGAAGAGGCAATTTGGCACCTGGAAACACACTGGCAGGTGCCATGACACCCTCAGGGACTACGTTGAAGATCGTTGATATAAAGCATGATTCAAAAAGCTCTGAATCTAAAATTATTTTTGATTTTGTGAGCTTTAACAACAGATGTTCCAATGGGATTTAAAATGTCAAATAATCAGAAAAACTGGGGATGGGGAGAACTAAAATCTATGAGAAATTGTATTGTTTATTATTATAGAATATGGTCTGGTCATGAGATATACTCACAATTTAGCGGTAAATAAGCTATGGCAAAATAAACTACAACATAATAAGTCTAAGGCATGTCTTCAATGTGACCAAAATAATTCAAAGGATTCTCAAAAGGTTTTTAAACATGATGGCTTAGATAAGATGAAGACCCCACTCTCATTTCAAGTACAGGGGTCGTTTCATAGAAAAAGAGCTAGGGGAACTCATTAGCATAACTCATTAGCATATGCCAGACCCCCTGACATCACCAGAAGTGTGTCATAAGGCCACACCCCCTGACATCACCGGAAGTGTGTCATAAGGCCACACACCCCGCCCCCAACGGCCCTCGCCGCCGCCGGCCTTGCAGCTCCACTGCCGAGCCCCATGAGGGGCCCGGCGGTGGATCTGCAAGGCCAGTGGGAGTGCAAGGAAGCCCTGCGAAGGCACTCCCTAGCCCCAGGCAGGCAGGGGTGGGGAGAGGCAGGGAGGAAGCAACTTAACCTCCCTCTTCTCCTGCCTCCTCCTGGCTGAATGAGGGCAAGAAGCGGGGTGGCCAGAAGCGGGGGGCTTCGTCATGTGCCCCGCCCCCGTACCTCACCCGGGGGAACTGCGATCCCCCGCGATTCCCCGCGAAATGACCTCTGTTCAAGTATAAAAAACAAACTGGAAGTTTGAGCAGCTTCAGTTTGCCTTGGGGCCATAAAGGAAGTGAGTATTTATCATTTGAACCTGCACTTGGTCTTGCTAATGGAAATCAGATTCCTTGCTTTGTTGTTATCATTTTCAAATAGGGCTGACAACCTACAGGTAATGGAAGGCGATCTCCTGCTATTACAACTGATCTCTGTCATCTCTGTCACCTGACAGAGATCAGTTCACCTGGAGAAAATGGCTACTTTGTAAGGTGTACTCTATGGCATTATACCTCATTGAAGTGCCTACCCTCTCGAAACCCCACCCTCCTCAGGCTCCACCCCCCAAATCCCAAGGTATTTCCCAACCTAGAGCTGGCAATCCTATTTTCAAAGATGTTTCTCTTAAGAACAGATATTTCCCCAGTGTGAATTGTGAACCTCAGTAGCTGAAGGGTTAAAACACTTTCCTGCTCAGTCACAAGGTAAACTGAGGCTGATCAAGTCTAGAATTTGCATGTTATGAACCAAACAAGAGGCACTACAATTCTCTTGGCTGTTTGAGTCCTCAGTCTTAAAACTGAACAGTTTTTATTCATTTAACTTTGCCTGAGAATCATTCCTGTCTTCTGCATTTACTTTTACAGCCATGCACCCTGATTTATTAATCCTTGCCTTGACCTAATTAGTCTTCAGCTCAAAGGCTGTATCCTTTCTGCTGCTTTAATAACCCTGGAATGCAGTATCTAGGTAAGAGGGAAATTAATCAGTATCAATTTACGCAGAACTACGGTAGGATTTTTGGCCACACTTTACACATTTGATGGTCCATTTGTATATATATTTACATACATACCCCTCTGAAAGCTGAAGAACACCATATGGCTTCTTCAGATTCACTATACTGTATATTCTACTATGGGACTATATGTGATTATTGCTGTTAAAGCTGACCTTATTAGCTTACTTACAGAAAGGTAGCCATGGTCCCGGTCACACGGGCTGGATAATGCGGGGGGGGGGGGGGGGGGGGCGTTTGTTCGGGAGGCATGGCTATTAGTGCCGTCACAATCTGATGCGCCCCAACGTGATCAGATGTGACGCCGTTGTTTCCTTGGGCGGTTGTTTGCAGCGCACTCCAACCAGGAAGCAGGGACTCAAGAGGAGTGCGCTGGGGCAATCAGACGGAGAGTGTCTGTCTGCAGCCCGTCGCTACCGTTTACTACTGGGGTTTCCAAGGTACTTTTAAAGTCCGCCTCTTCAGCCGGACGATACCGGTTGACCACGGGTGCGCCACGGTTGCCAGATGTGGCGGTGTGATCGCACCCATATAATCCGCCTGGCATTCGTGGCTCTCCTGCTGCAAACTCTGCGTGTGATTGGGGCCCATGGTAGTCTACTACAGCAAAATAAACAAAACTCCAGCAGCATCTTTAAAAGTACCAACATTCATTCTAGCATCAGCTTTTGGAAGACAGAGCTCACTTTTCAGGACCTACTTTTTAGAAAGTTTAATTGGCTCTTCTTAACATGTTGTCCCATACTATAATCTGTAATTGATGTCAGTTTTCTTAAGCTTCAGGGTGCTTCTTCCTCAATTAGTGTCGTTTATATTACTTACCTAGCCTGATACCCGTGCTTCACAACGGTATTTAACTTTTGTAAATTCAGTTATAATACTGATGATGTAAAGTTTGAAATGTAAAATTTGTTGTAGGAATACTAATGGAGAAGATTGTAGTGTAAAAAATGAAGTGAGACATAACATACTTTCCCCCTCTCTACTGAAGAACCTCTCTGTAGACTGGTGGGGCGGGCTCCCTCATGGCTTTAAGCACCCTGCAACCGCTGCTGCACCTGACAGACAATTGCCTGTTAAGTGTAGGAGGTGGGGGGATTATGTTGGAAGTCATCAGAGAGGCTAGGCCAGCAACATTGCTAAGGTGATCCTGCTGGGGTGGCGTCCCTGATGGATTAAAGTACCCTGGTCCTGCTCCTACACCTGACAGACACCCGCCTGCCTGGTGTTGGGGGGATTATGTTTAAAGGCATCAGGGAGGCTGGGCCAGCAGCAGGGCTAAGACAGTCTTGCAGAGCAAACCTCCCTGGCAGCTGTAAGCATCCCACCTCCTCTCCTACACCTGACAGGCAGCTGCCTGTCCAGTGTAGGAGAGGGAGGGGGAGGAGTATTAGAAGCCACTGTGGAGGTGAGGTTGGCAGGATCACGAAGACATTACTGCTGGGGCAGGTTCCCTCATGGCTTTAAGCACCGTGCAACTGCTGCTGCACCTAACAGACAACTGCCTGTCAGGTGTAGGAGGGGGGAGCATGTTTGAAGCCATAGGGAGGCTGGGCCAGCAGCTTTGCTTCACCTCACATTGAGCTCTGCAGCTGACCAATCAGAGAGTGGGGGGGTGCAAGGAGGCAGCAGCCTGGCAGCTGCATAGGAATCAATGGGGGGAGCACATTTTACCCCTTTTGACCCACTTAGGGGTTGAATTTCTAAAAATCCCTTCTTACTGAGCATCTATGCCATGGTAGGAGTGCTCTCCCCAAATATGGTGTTTCTAGGTCCAGGGGTTTGGCCTGAGCGTTGATTTTACGGTGAGGGGACTTTCTTTTATATATATAGATTGCCCTTTGTTTAATATGTTATCGAAGGCTTACACGGCCGGGCTGTATAACCATGGTCCTGGCATTGTACTACTACATACAGCCCAGAAAATTTACAACAACTAATGCCCTTTGTTTATCTGTACCCTATGAAAGATTGGAAGGAACCTCTGTCTTCTCTCATTGTCCACTATAATTATCCACTACCAGTGCTTCGCCAGGTTGAATACCAGATCAGGTACAAGGTTCTCTGGTCTGGGGCCAACATACTTTCCGGACTGCATTTCATGACATACCCCCCCCCCCGGAGAGCATTACAATCTAGGGAACAGAATGTCCTGGTGATCTCTGGCCCAAAAGACATCTGGCTATGTTCAACCAGAGCCAGGGCCTTTTTGGCCCTGGTGCTGGCCTCGTGGAACTCTTTGCCTAGTGACATCCATGCCCTGCAGAACTTGGTACAGTTCTGCAGGCCTGTAAGACAGATGGCAGGTCCTTAAAGAGATGGGAGTACCAGACCACCTCACATGTCTCTTGAGAAACCTGTATAAGGGCCAAGAAGCGACAGTTAGAACCGGATACGGAACAACTGATTGGTTCAGCATAGGAAAAGGAGTACGACAAGGATGTATACTGTCACCTTGCTTATTTAATATATATGCAGAGTACATCATGCGAAATGCTGGCCTGGATGAATCACAAGCGGGAATTAAGATTGCTGGGGAAAAGATCAACAACCTCAGATATGCAGACGATACCACTCTAATGGCAGAAAGTGAAGAGGACCTAAAGAGCCTCTTGCTCAGAGTAAAAGAGGAGAGCGCAAAAGTGGGCTTGAAGCTCAACATCAAAAAAACTAAGATCATGGCATCCGGCCCCATCACTCCTTGGCAAATAGAAGGGGAAGCTGTGGAAGTAGTGACAGACTTCACGTTCCTGGGATCCCAGATCACCGCAGACTGTGACTGCAGCCATGAAATTAAAAGACGCCTGCTCCTTGGGAGGAAAGCGATGGCGAACCTAAACAGCATGATAAAAAGTAGAGACATCACCCTGCCAACAAAAATCCGCATGGTCAAAGCAATGGTATTCCCAGTAGTCATGTATGGCTGCGAGAGCTGGACTATAAGGAAGGCCGAGCGCCGAAGAATAGATTCTTTTGAACTATGGTGCTGGAGAAGACTCTTGAGAGTCCCTTGGACTGCAAGAAGAACAAATCAGTCAATCCTCAAAGAAATCAACCCTGACTGTTCCCTGGAAGGCCAGATAATGAAACTGAAGCTCAAATACTTTGGCCACCAAATGAGAAGGGAGCACTCACTGGAGAAGACCCTGATGCTTGGAAAGATTGAAGGTCAAAGAAGACGGGGACGGCAAAGGATGAGATGGTTAGACAGTGTCATCGATGCAACGAACATGAAGTTGAGCCAACTTCAGAGGACGGCAGAAGACCGGAAGGCCTGGAGAGAGCTCGTCCATGGGGTCGCGAAGAGTCGGACTCGACTGTGCAACTGAACAACAAAAAGGCTGAGCTCTCACTTAGCAGACAGCAATGGTTTACCATTGAGCCTGGCTTCCATTACTCCCCCCCCTCCCCGGAAAGGGTATAAATTGGTATCAAATGCCACCTGTATTAATTTTACTGCATGTATTGTATTGTTTTAATTGTTAAATTGTTTAAACCAGGGGTGTCAAACATGCAGCCTGCAGGCTGGATCTGGCTCCCACAGGGCTTGTATTCGGCCCACAAGCAATTTGCTCTCATCTGCTTCCTTCTCCCATTCTTCTGCATCACAGCTTGCTTTGCCAGGCTCTCTCAATCGCACAGGAACTACAGAGCAAAGCCTCTCTTCCCTCCATTGCCCCCCCTGGAGTGCGGGACGGAAAGCGTGAGAGCTTACTTTGCCAGGCTCACTCAATTGCACAGCAGAGCTACTTAGCCAAGCCTCTCTTCCCTCTATTGGCTGAGGCTCCTCCCCCTCCTTGTCCCCTGGTGGGGAGGGAGGGAAATAGCGAGAGCTTACTTTGTCCAGTTCCCTCAATCCCATTGGAAAGATACAAAGCACCTTTAAGACTAACAAAGTTTTATTCAAGGTATGAGCTTTTTGTCTTGCTACAGAGGGAGGAAGGGAGGGAGGGAAGAAGGAAGGCAGAGAGAGAGAGAGAGAAAGAGAGAGAGAGTGTCTGTGTTTTGTTGGGCTTATTGTGCCAGGGCTCTCCTGGATGCAACTGGGTTTCCCTCCTCTTTTTCACTGTATTCAAGCCCTCATGATCCAGTCTTTCTCAGTAGGAAAGCAATGTGAACTATTTAGATGAGGAATAACAACAAGCTGGTGAGGTGGATTAGGCTGAGAGTGTGTGTTCAGACCAAGTTCACCCAGCACATTTCCTTTGTCAACTGGGGATTTTGAACTTAGACTTCCCAGATAGTAGGCTGATACTGACCACTATACATTATTGTCTCTCTGTTCTTGCACTGCCTCATAGGAGCTGTAGTTATTTCTGTGAGGAAGACTATAGTTTTGTAGACAAACACACAGCCCTCAGTCTGTGTCGGATGCCTTCTCATGATCTTGACCAGCACATGAAGCAACTTATGTACAAAAGCTCGCAATGCCCCGCCATTTCATGTTTTTCTTTGGGTCTTAGGCTCAGAGCACTGACCATGAGACTTCTGTAATGAATGTCAGTAAATTGAAAGTAGAGGTGTCAGTTATCAGAGACTGTTAAATAAACAAAATATTGCAAGAGTGCTAAAGTTTTAAGCATGTTTTATTTTACATTAAAAAAATTAATCATGTCAGTGTCCTTTATAAAGTTTATATCTCCACTACCTGGCATTACATTTTATGACACACATGGCTCGGCCTGATAAGGTCTCACTTATGTCAGATCCATCCCTCATAACAAATGAGTTTGACACCCCTGGTTTAAAATGAATTTAATTATTGATTGATATATGTATTTATTCGATGTTGTGTACTGCCCTGAGCCCTTCAGGGGAGGGCGGTCTATAAATTTAACAACAACAACAACATAAGTAGCAACCTAATCAATTCCAGTTCGTCATACCTGAAAGACTGATGGGATTCACACTAGGCTTCTCTCTTTGCTCCCAACTCCTCCCTTCCCATCTCCACTGTGGAATTTTTTTCCTATAAAAATGTAGAATATTTTTCCTCTGCATAGCATCTGAAGAAAACAGCTCTGACTTACAAAAGCTCACAGTGGAATATATGTTGTTAGTCTTTAAGGGGCCACTGGGCTTCTGTCTTATCAATATAAACATTGTCTCCTTTCATGAAAATATTGGGTAAAAATTTTTGTATTACATTTCATAGATATGAGCATGTACATGATGGTCACAAGTATAATCCTGCTCTCTGTGTGTGCAGAGGGCATAGGCCAGGTACGCAACGCATCAGGCCACATCATGGCAAGATGAGGCCCTCCACTCCTACCTTGGTATGCATCACCCAGATGCTCTGTGTGCACAGTATGCTTGCCAGAACCAGGAGTAAGTATCACACATGATAGGGCCACAGCTGCTAAGTGTCTTAAGAGCAGGAGTTGTACAGCTGGATGCCTGCAGACTTGGAGCAGGTACAGAAAGCCTGTGTACGCTGGTCTGGTCTTCCTCATTCCCCTTCCCTATTCTTTCCTCATTTGAGACAGTGACAGAAGGCCAGAGCAGCATACTCTCAGCATATCCCCCACTCTCTTAATTTGCTCGCACACAGAGCCTCCTCACCCTGCCCTTATACAAATTAGGGTTGACAGCTCTGGGTTGGGAAATACCTGGAGATTTTGAGGGTGGAGCCTGAAGAGGGTGGGGCTTGTAGAGGGACTTCAATGCCATAGAATTTACCTTCCAAAGAGTTCATTTTCTCCATGCGAACTGATATCTGTGACCTGAAGATCAGTTGTAATAGTGGGGGATCTCCAGCCGCCACCTGGAGGTTGGCAACCCTAATTTACAAATGGAGCACAGGGTCGTACCTCATAAAGTCTATGCATACATAAAACAAGACTATACACAAGTCCACTGGTACCTTAAAGACTAACTTTATTCCAGCACAAGCTTTCGTGAGTTAGAGCCACGTGAGAGGGATAAGGAAACTAGTCTGCTCAAGTCCCTTATCCTGGAGCAATAACTGGAACAGTTGGAGTAGGGATTTCCTCCAGGTTTCCCTTTTCCTCACTGCCTCTAGCTTGTATTTTTACTGTTTGGATTATTAGACCCCTTATATTTTTCAAACACATTATTTTTTAAAATTTATTTTCAGATGCAACGGTTAAATACCACATAGAAAATTGTCAATTAACTGTGAGATATTTAGCAACCAATATTATTTATTGAGTAACCAATTTTGAATATTTGCACTCTACTTACCAAATAAAGAGCAATTCCACCGCCAATTAAAAAGCCACAGTAAACATCAACTGGATGGTTTTTGTACTGGGTGATCCGAGTTAGTCCACAGATAATCCCACAGATGATAAACGCAAAGACTAGAAGTGGTTTCAGAAGTTTAGAGGAGTCGGTTAAAGTAGAATTGAAGTACATCTTTAAAACAAAATACATTAAAAAAAATTGAGTAAAAAATGGAAGTAGAATTCCCACCCTTCTGAGTCCTCTGAAGTTAATGGACAGAGAAGGGTGTAACTCTTTTTAAGATTGTATTGCAAGTCAGTCACCAAACCCACTTCAATTCTTCCTGCCTGTGTTTTTTTAAGAAATGTGGAGATCTGGGGACTGGCCTCAAAAAAGTCTCTTCCTAACTAGAGTGACAGACAGGCTAGGTTCCGCCTCTCCCTATGAGAACTGATGGAATGTTGGGGAGAGATAGTTGGAAAACAGCAGTTAAGTCGGCAGTTGGGAGTCGGCAGCTGGAGAACTGAGAGGGAAAAGGAGGGTGTCAGACTGAGTGAAAATGTGGAGAAGAACTGCTTATGGTAGGCTGAAAATAGTCAATTTGTAACCAAAGGACCCCAGTTGATCCCACTGAACAGTTGAAAAGTTCAATGGAAGTGAAAATTGCAACTCCTACTTTACTTTCTTCAGTGTGAATGCTAATACCACGAATAAAAGTTACTTCTTGTTTTGTTTAACCCTATGGGCTGCATGTCTAAGAGAAAGAAATGCTCACAATTTAATATCCCAGCCTCTCTCTATATATTATAAAATATGAGTAAATGGTGGCAGCACGTGAATGGAACAGTGTTTGAGACCCTAACCCCAAAAACTCTGTGTGAGTTAGGGCCTGTTATTAAAGTGGCTGGGCTACCATGTCTGTGGTTGTCTCTGTGAGTGAGAGAGAGTACCTGAGAGGGGAAATGGTCAGGGCTTTCTGTAATTTTAAAAGAGACAGGAAGGGTGGTGAATGTGACCTCCTGACTTACTTGTAAACTGAACCATGGGGGGGGTGTTTGTAGAGGGTGATAGGTGCTCTGTGTGAGTGGAGGAGTGTCTTATAAAATGGGAAGGTCTATCCCTTCATTAGCAGAGAACACCAACTCAAGGACTTGTATGCTCTCAGTGGTTAACTCCAGAATTTTATGCTGCATGCAGTGCAAACAGAACTCTTAGGCAGAGGTTCAAATCTATAAAATCTCTCCCATATTCTTACAATACTTAGAATATTCTCCTATGAACAAGTATTCTGTAGCTAATCTTGGCAAGAAGTTCTTTGAAATGTGTAGGGCACTTAATCCTTGGCCTATGTGTTGTGCTGGCTACAAAAGGAAACCACTCATGAGAGCTGCTAATTACATGTATTTGTAGCAAAAGGAAATGAATAAATTAGCTCTTGTCAGGGTTGGCAATCTTGAGGCAGGCTGGCAGTCAAGCCAAGGATGGAGGCAGGCAGTCTGAGAATACTTCAGCAAACTGCTCAACCAGTAGATGCTTGAAGTGAAAGGTCAAGTGGCTTTACAAGGCCAGTGGATCTCTTGTATCACCTGATCCCTAGTGAGTCAGTAGCTACAATAACACCTCTGACCATTTATAGTAGTGCTGCTGAAATACAGCAGAAAGCTTCTGAATTCCTCTCCTGCTCAGATTGTATCAGAAACACAGAATTAGGGTTGCCAAGTCTTAAAATCTTACTGGCGGGGGAGGCTCCGTTCTGCCCGGGAGCTGGCTGTCTGTGTGTGTGCGCAAAGCGCGCGCTGCCGCAACGTCACCTGAAGTGACGTCAGACATTGCTTGACGTTGGGGGCGTGGCCGAGCTTGTCGGGGGGGGAAACATATGTTCCCCCCCCCAACGAGCTCAGCCACGCCCCCAACATCAGCAACATGGCTGCAGCTTCGGGGCGGGGTTCCCCCCGGGCCCCGATTCTGCCGGGGCAGAAATCGGGGCTCCGAAGCGGGGGATTCCCCACCCCCCGGGCACATTTGGCAACCCTACACAGAATACCTACATTCCTTTGTCCTCCTTGCTGCAGCTTACCTGCTAAAAGAAACAGCAGTGAGGGGGTAGCCTCCCCTTCCTTCCCTGTCCACCTTCATCGAGTGGACACCTTGTGGACTACATAGCCAAGAGTGCAGCAGAATTTCCCTAGAAGCTGCTACTGAAGGAATGGGAGGCCAGTGGGAGGAGAGACAGAAATACTCTGCCTGCAAAACGCTACCATCAGCAGGGACTATGGAGGGGAAAGAGGGAGGAGAATGACACTTTCCAGTCATATTTGAGTAGGACGTAGCAGTAACCTAATAGCTTGGCTTTCCCAAGACTTGTTCTGATGAGCCCATTTCTGATAAAAGCCATGGTGCCATGTTACAACATTATGCTTGGCAGGCTGTCAGACGGAACTGCTGTACCAAAACCTGAATATGGCCTTTAATCTGCAAAGACTGGAAAGCACTTTCCCAACATCTAACCCTAAAGTTGTTGCTTGTTTAGCCAGTTTGGTGTGGTGGTTAATTGCGCGGACTCTAATCTGGGAGAACCGGGTTTGATTCTCCACTCCTCCACTTGCACCTGGCTGGATGACCTTGGGCAACCCATAGTTCTGGCACAGCTGTTCTTGAAAAAAGAGCAGTTTCTGTCAGAGCTCTCTCAGCCCCACCTACCTCACAGGGTGTCTGTTGTGGGGAGGGGAAGAGAAAGGAGTTTGTAAGCCACTCTGAGACACCTTTGGGTAGTGAAAGGCGGGATATAAATCCAATATCTTCTCTTCTTCTCTTCTAATCCATTTAAACAGAAACATTATCGCTACCAAGGACATGTTTAATTACTGGATATGAAGGATTTGTAGTTGTGTAGCTGTATAACAATAGTTTTTAAAACATTTATTTAAAAATTATGGGGGAGAAAATATTTCTTGAAAAGGTTTCTTTCCCCATTTTTCTAAAAATGCCCACTGGGTGAGGGGAGATTAGAAGCAACCCAGTCTTTTCTTGCCTTTTCTGGCATTACTAGTCTTAATGATCTTGCTTTAAAACGGACACAAAATGACATTTTGACTTTCCCCCTTGTAAAAACTATTATGAACAGGCTTAATTACTTACTGAAACATACACAGCTGCAAAGGCTGCCAGAGTAGCGTGTTCCGAAGGGAATGACTTTCTGCAAAGGAAGGACACCCAAATTAAATTTCTCACTTAAAACACATTCTGCTAAGGTTGGGTTTAAAAAATAGTGAAAGCACTGGGTAGTCCAGTCCCTTAATCATGTGTAGCTTGCAAGATTCAATCAAAGAAACAAACATTGGATTGCTAGAAAAAAAATATTTTATTTTTGTAAATTCACTTTTGGTATTCTGGAAAGAACAGCTGCTACATCCCATAGTAACAAATAACATATTTTGATTGCAAAGATTAAATTTCTCATCTCAAGTTGTAGAATTTCTATTTCAGCAGTCATTTGAGGAAAGGAACAAGCTAAACCTTGAACCCACTGATACAAAATCAGAAGCACTCCTCCTCCATGGACTACTGCTACACAGGGGTATGTTGCCATCTCTTCACAGTCACTAGTCAATTTGAGTGTTCATGTGTCTAGCTGAAAGCCACAAGCCAGTTGGTCCGAGTGAGCATATGTTGCCCTGCGGGGGCCCCTGGCACTCTCATCCATGAAGATTGAAGTACTTGGTGCACATAATGGCAACAACTCTCGGTAGGTGCAGGTGAACGTTTCCAAATGCAAGGGCAGGTTCACAGATGAATATCTATCACCTGATTCCCTACACCTCATCTCTCTGCACTGGATGATTTCTCGGCTGATCTGATTCTATCGAGATACACAGTGTTTGTGGTGACATGACCAAATGTGAGGAATTCTGTAGTGTTAGATCATATACAACTCATCACTTGAGGGTTGCAGCTATCAAGTGGTGAACTGGCAACAGTATGGGATATCTGGATTGCAGTCACTTGGCCCAAACGACCATATATTTCTTGAGAACAGATGGAAGGTGATCCATATATAGACGAGTGAAACCATTAAAATTCTGTGGGTTTTGAACACTGGCTAATCTTATATATGTACCCTTTCACCTCCTCAAGACAAAACATTTGCATTATAGTGTCTGTCTGAAATGCTATGAGACACAAAAGGCCATAGTTTTGGAAGCTGCACTGCACCTGAAGTAATACAACTGATGACACAGCCTAGTTATTGCGACCAGATTCACTACATTGCTAAGGGCAGAATTAAATCTTTGGCAATTCTGTTTTTATCCAGGGCTATTTTTGGGCAGGAACGCACAGGAACGGAGTTCCGGCTGGCTCCCAAGTTGGCCACGCCCAGCAGGAACTCATTAGCATAATAGACCACACCCAACAGCAGAAACTCATTAGGATTGGCTACATTAGGGGTTTGTGGCCTAACAGGCAAAGGAGTTCGTGCTACAAAAAAAAGTTTTGGGTTTTGACAACAAAGGTAAACACAATAAGGAGCAAAAGGTGGGTGTGGCTGGATAACCACACTTCTGGTAACATGTAGGTGTGGCCTAATATGCTAATGAGCTGCACTGTCAGGGGTGTGGCCCAATATGCTAATGAGTTCCTGCTGTTCGGTGTGGCCTATTATGCTAATGCATTCCTGCTGGGTCCTGCTGGGCTTTTTCTACAAAAAGAGCCCTGTTTTTATCCCATGCTTTCTCCAAGCTGTTCAGGTAATGTTTATGGCTCTCCCTCCCGACTTTGTCCTCACAACAAGTCTGTGAGGTTGGTTGGTTATGCTGAGAGAGTGAGAGAGAGACTGGTGCAAGGTCAACCAGACTGCTTTCACATGGGGATTTTCACTCATACAGGCTGCAGGAAGCCCCCCTCTCATACTATATGGGAATGTGTAGTCTGAGCACCACTAGTCTGGCTCCTGTGTTTTCCCCTTTGTGCAGAGAAAATAAAAAAGTTTATGTGGCTCAAATGGGGAAAAGGGGGGTGGCTGTGGGCACAGCATCCATTTGGATGCTTCAACTACAGCTACTACTAGGGGTGGGGTGGGAGTGAAGCTAAGCTCTGCTTTCAAAATGACACAGGGCAGCTTGCTGCTGCATACATCTCCTGCCCTTTTAGTCCTTTAAAGGGCCTTTTCCTTTTAGTACTAAGAGCATGACTCAGTAAAGAGCAGGAAAGGGAGGAGAAAGGAGGGTTCTGGGCCATAAGAGCCCTCCAACACTGTGCAGGTGCAACAGAGAAAACAGGGAGGAGTGAGGGTAGTGGAAAGAGCAAGAATGGATGTGCGTGAACCCCTTTCTCACCCTCTCCCACACCACATGCTCTTGCTGCTATTGTTTTCATGCCTCCTATGCAGAAGCAGCTCCAGTGGGTCTTCGTTGGTAAGTATGGATTTGAGTCTGGATCTCCCAGATCCTAATCTGACCCTCAAAGAGAGCCAGTTTGGAGTAGTGGTTAGGAGCGCAGACTTTAATCTGGGAGAACCGGGTTTGACTCTCCACTCCTCCACATGCAGCTGCTGGAGTGACCTTGGGTCAGTCATAACTTCTTTCAGAGGTGTTCTCTCAAGGGCAGTTCTCAACAGAGCTCTCTCAGCCCCACCTACCTCACAGGGTGTCTGTTGTGGGGAGGGGAAGGGAAAGGGATTGTAAGCCATTCTGAGTCTCCTTCGGGTAGTGAAGGGTGGGGTATAAATCCAATCTCTTCTTCTTCAAACCACTATTCCACTCTGGTGTAGTTCATAAGAGGTCTGACAAGTCTGAGAGGTGCTGAACGAGTGTAATGCAGCAAGCTTTTTTGTGTGTCTTGACCTCAGTCTCCGGAAGTTACATTTTAATAATTCCTTTCTCTCAAAAGCACGCCAAAAAAAAGGTCATTACTATAAGGAACTCCCACTAAGAGCAAGACTTCAGAACTGCTGCCTATTAAACAGACTTAGCTCCTCAGAAGAAGGAAAAAACTGCAACAGAATTTATGGCATATGGAAAAAGTGCAGAATTCATCCTGACCTTTAGAAATGGGACACATAAATAGAAAATAGATGGCAACACGTTGTGAAATGTCTGCCCCCTTAGAATGTCAAGGCACTCTTAAGGGTAGGCACTCTTCTGTGCAAGTTGGGGGACTTGAAAAAAATGGTAGAGAGAGGATTTTTTTAGGAACATGGGTCAAGTCGCATTGGCTGTCTTGGCCTTTCTCTGTTAGTCTTCTCTGAATAATTCATGAAATCTTTGGCCCAAATTTTAGCTACTGATTAGTTTTTCTCATTTGAATATGTGTTATAGGTCACTGTGTTTTCATGCAGCCAGTGTTCCCACTGAAGTCAATACAAGTTTTTTGTAAACACACCAGGGAGTTATACGCATCAAATTGTAGTGACGTTATCTTTCTGATTATTGTATGTGTATACGAGTCTGTTTGGAGATGGTCTGAGAGCAAGATACAACTATGAAACCACTGGCTGTTCCCAACATAAGGCATATTTTAATCAAAAACAGATAGGGAAAGATTATAATGCTGTCCTAAACAGAGTTAACATCCCTTGAAGACAATTTAAGTCTAAGAGTCTAACGCTGCTTAGGAATGCACTCAGTCACTTGGGGATCTGTTTTGTTGGTTAATTTTCATTGAAGGCAGAAGGCAGTGGTGAATAACCAACATTTTTACTTACTGTAGCAATCTCACTTCATGCCTAAAATCTGAAAGGGATTTACTGAGAACAGAATCTGCTGCTATCTGCATAGCACCATCCCTTTATTTGCATATGTTCGCAGTCCACTTCTTGGTCATAACTGTTGATCCATCTTGTATATGCACAATCATGACAAAGCACCTTTGAGTCTTATCAAATTGTTGAGTTTATCAAAAGATGAATGTACACAGAGCTAGACAGAAACAACCAGCATGCAACACAGTCTAGATGGAGGTAATAAATGTTGAATAGGAACACAATTCAAGAAATTGCATTTCTGTGTCTTACCTTCCATCATTGATGATGACGGGATCGGGTCCTGAGCAAATATCCTCCACAATGTAAGAATTTTCTGAGCAAGACACGTTTAGGGATGTATAGTTAGGTTTGCATACAGTCAGGAAGTATGGTGTCTGATATCCTGTTGACAACTGTATAATATCTGTGATGAGAGCTGTGGCACAAAGGCCAAACACATGGACACCTAAAAGAAGCAGGAAAGCCTGTTAGATGCTTGCCTCATTGGAAAGGCTACTGGATTCTATTTGGTTCTGCAGCTTGGATCCCACAGTAAATTGCTGATGAAGGGATTTCCGTCAGCAAAATGGAAATTCCTCATTACCGAGATGATCCCCCAGAAGGCTAAGCCCCAGGAACAGTAGGAGGGGATAGTCAGAGGTCTGCAGAAGGGTGTGGGACATCAGCCAAAATTACCCTCCCTTCTGTCACTGAAAATTTTCCGCAGTGTTTAGCACCATATCTGCCCTCCCCTCGAACAACTTTATTTCACGTTTGGTGCCTCCATCATCTATTTAACAGATATGGCAAAATATCTGCTGGTTTCAGCTTTTAGGAAAGCAATGCTCCACATTTAAATGTTAAACCTCCCTTTATATTTCATATGTAAAGCACCAGATGATGCCAACTCCTTAATGGAAGTTGATCAACAACAGGGAGGTTTTATTGTGTAGTGAAATATACTTTCAGTCTTTTAACTATAAATACAGTGCCCCTCAAGAATAAAGAAGGTGAACATCCTTTATCTAACCAATAAAGCAAAGCAAAATTAACAATGAAAAACCAAAACCTAGTTAAAGTTAACAAACAAGATCCTGAATATATAAGTCAGATGGAAGTCCCAATGATTTCAATGGGACTTTCTTCTAAATAACTTAACATTGGGAAGTTGGCTGTGTGGCAGCGACAGTTTTCTTCAGGGATCTCCAACTTTTTTGAGCCTGTGGGCACCTTTGGAGTTCTGACACAGTGTGGTGGGTGCAACCACAAAATGGCTGCCACAAATGGCTGCCACAGCTTACCTTCAGTCACATAGTGAAGATCCTTGGACTGTGGTGGTAGGTAATGCCAAAATAACATTTTTAAAAATCTGCACAGCCAGTCAGAAGCCTTGCTGGAGAAAAGCTCACCTGGCCTTGCTCACTATGGTCCCTTCCGCACTAAATCTTAAATACTGGTTCAACCCTATCCCTGAACTTACATTCTACACTACACGTGAGTTCACCCTTGTAATTATCTCAGGGTATTTTTACATTCTACACTACACTCGAGTTCAGCCCTGTAATTATCTTGGGGTATTCCCCCCCCCCCCCGGTTTTGCCCCACACTTGTCCCAGGATAAAGAGATGCTGTTATAACCAGGGTAAATGCAAAGTATTGTATCGCGAGTTGAACTCTGATAAAACCAGGGATGAGATCCAAGTGCAGAAAGGACCTTTACACACTTGGTGGGTGCCAGGAAAGGTGTTGGTGGGCACCATGGTATTCACAGTCATCACTATAGGGACTGCTGATGGATCTATTTTTATCCACCCTATCCTCCAAAGATCACAGGGCAGCATACATGATTCTCCATTTCCCATTTTAGCAGCACAACAATCCTGTGAGAGGTAGGTTAGAAGACCATGTGACTGGCCCATGGTCACCCAGAGAGTGGGTTTTGAACCCAGTTCTCTCAGAACCTAGTCCAAGACCTTAACCATTACAGTGCACTGGATTTCTTCTCGTGTTGGCTTTCATTACTGAACAGTCAACAGAATGTTTTATTTATTTCATCATTTAATGCAAGAAAAATGCACAGGGCCATGCAAATGGAAATATAAGCTGTTCGAAACATCAATAACACAATAAAAAAGAAACATCATAAGTGCTTTGGACTTATGCATTGACACTGAGTAGGCCTATGAAGTATATCTAAAGAATGAAGATGGGTCTCATCAAAACCAGATTCTCTTCAGCAAAAAAGGCAACCCACCAACAAATCGGACTGCTCTCCTAAGGAAAGAGTTGAAGTTGCAGCCACCTGCATTGATATTGGCTTCAGCTCCAATTCCATTTCGACGTTTAGAAAGGCAGCAGTAGAGAATCCCTTCTCCCACCATGATCTGCAATAAAAAATGAAGGGTTTTATTTATTTATTTATTTATTTAGGTATTTTTACCCCGCCCTCCCCGCAAGCGGGTTCAAGGTCATTGTTACAGGGATTTGTCACACCATCATTTGATCCAAAGGACATATCAAATTGTAAGAGAACAACCTTCATTTACCAAAGTGCGCATGTCATTAAAAGCATTTTGCTGTGTAGACATCCATACTGCAATTTTCATAAGTGAGGGTGGGAGAGAAGGTGGCATTGTCTGTTATGAATACTCTTTGAGCATGTACCATACTTCTATAGTCTTACAAACACCTTGTTTTCAAGATGCTTGAGGTGTCTGGAAACTCTTTGCTTCACTATTCATTTTTGTGAATTCCGAACAGCACCTCCTGTTTTTGATATTTGCTGCAAACATACATGTTGCTGTTCTTTTCTGCACCAATTTCCTTCTTCTTCACCTTCAGTGCTGTCATTTGCACTCACTGCCATTTAATTCCATTGCTTGAGGTAACTCATGTGACTTTGTTGGTGACATATCAGGGTGTCATCTCTGATATGGTAATATTAGGGACATCTATAAACAAAATCATGTGTGGGTCATGCTAAGAAGAGCTGAGGGAACAAAACCAGCACTGGAATAATGGGAATGTTCAGTGAGGCATGTAAATTTGGTTTACACCATCCTAATTTTAAGGCAAATTTCAGAAACAGAGAACATTTGGTGCAGCCATGTTCTATTTATTTAAAATTGTTTTATCTTACCTTTCAGTCAGCAAAGATCCTCAAGGCAAATTAAAAGACAGGTGAGTGGAGGCAAGCCATGGAAAGCTTGGAAGGTTAGGATGAGTTTGTGCTGGATTTGGGAGGGGATGAAAAGCTGGGATAGGAATTTAAGGTGTCCATATAATCAGAGCAATGGGAACTGAAAGATCCTTGAGGCCAATGCTGGTACAGATTAGGGGACCTAGGTGCAACAATGGAAGACCAGATACAAGGAGGATGTAGTAGTCACAAAGGACACAATTTCATTTAAATGCAAAATGGCTCATTCCAACTATCAAATAATGTACCTGTATGTGTGAACAAACCCTGAAGCACTTAATGCTGAGTTGTGTGTGTGTGTGCTACGGATTCTTCTTATCATCTGAGCTTGTTTCCAAAACATTTGAAGTGTAAAGCTAGAAAGGCAAGCAATTTATTTGTAAATACTCTGTTAAAAACATAGGAATCAGTGGAGAACTGCTGATATAGCAGACTTCTCAGGATGTGGATAACAGAGCACGGAGGTCTGACACCACTGCAAGGCCAATAACCTCCTTCCAGCTGCACACTGCAATCTTAATGGATTTTTCTTATTCCCCCTACAGCAAAATAAGGGCAGTGAAGGTTGTATAATTCCAGGAGAATATAGATGATAAAGGGGATTTGGGGAATTCTACAGGCAAAGACCTACTACTGAAAACAGACTCTAACAATCAAATAATTCAATCTAGCCATTACGATGATGGGACTTCAATCAACAGCAAAGATCTTAAATTAACAATTAGTTTTGCAGAGTCCTCCATTGCTTTTTGCAAGGTTCACTGGCTTATGTACATGAAGAGCCTGCTTAGAAGATGATATGATTCTAAGAGAACTTTCTTCTATTTCAGAAGAGCAATATGGAAAAGAAATTAAATTCTGGCACACCCTCTTGTTGTGAACCAGGACAGCCATACCAAGGTTTACCACAGGAGTGACTGGTTTTTGAGATACTTAAGTGGGAAAAGAACTATAGATATGTCAGCCATTCTAGAAAATCACACATTCTAGATTAGTGATTTTAATGAGAGCCAGATGGCTCCCACTGGAACATCTACAATTCCTGAGGGGCATTCAGAATGCTGAGGGCAAATAGGAGTATGCAGGATTTAAGGCAGCACTTTCTCCCTACTTGCTATCTTCTGACAGCTAGTAGAGAGCAATTGTTTATACTATCCACCACTACCTAAGGATAAAATCCCAGATTCCGCCCTCCCCTTGAGGCCCTTAACTAGTGACATTGAAGAATCTAACCTAATATTATGGACTTGTCTGATGGCTATCAAGCACCTGGGTCTCATTGAATGTCTGCTTGATATGTGTGTTGTTGTTGTTCAGTCCCACAGTTGAGTCTGACTCTTCGTGACCCCATGGACCACATCATGCCAGGCCCTTCGGTCTTCCGTCGTGCTCCAGAGTTTGCTTAATTTCATGTTCGTTGCCTTGATAACACTGTCTAACCATCTCATCCTTTGCCGTCCCCTTCTTCTTTGACCTTCAATCTTTCCCAGCATATCTGTCAGCAAGCTGCCATTATGTTTTGTGTGACCTCTGTGTACATATCCTTACCCTGCTGCACCCGGCTTGTTTCTACCATCCTGCTCCTGTGCTGGAATGCATAAGATAACTACTGGAGGTTGTGTGGGGGAGAAGATGCTGTAATGCTTGCCTATTGCTTATCTCATGAGAACTGCACCTGTGTTTTGTCTTATGTTCTGCCTGGTTCCTATGGACTGGGCGCGCAACCGTTTCATTAGCCCGCCAGCGGGAATGTTATTCATTGGATATGTATCTGTTTGAATTTCCTTTATTATGCTTGACCTACCTGTGTATCCCCAGTTCTAACAAAGAACGTGTTTGAGTATGTCTTCAACGCTTTGAAATAAATTTTGCTTTTCTTGAAAACGTGGATTTATTCTCGATGCTTGGGGATCCAACATATTGTTAGAACTCCCTTTTTCCTATCGTTCCGAATCTGGCAAGATCATGAGCGGAGCTGAGGGAGACCTACCGAAAACGGAGGGGGATTCAGGATCGGTCCCACACACCTCCGCTCCTTTGGTGACTGCAGCCTCGCTGGAGGGTGCCGTGGGGGGAACGACTCCCCGCCGGCCTGCACATCTGTCTTGGCCGCCTCCGACCCCTTCGCACTGGGGTCCGCGGAAGACTCAACAGCAGGATGACTGGACTATGTACAACACTCAGGGCACCCGAGAGGTGTACTCCCGTCGAGGGAGCGGATTACGTGAAAGTCTGTTTGACAAGGGATTGTTCCCGGAGCCGGGGACTACCTCGGAGAAGGGGAGTTCCAAGCAAGACCTCGAGGAGTGGATGTTCGAGCCATCGGGGCCGCGAGGCCACGCAGAGGATGAGGAGGGCACCGGAGCCTTCCAAACGGAAGAGGACTATGACCCACCCCCGGACTATCGACCTCGGGACCCCATCCCGGAGGAAACCACCGGGGAACGACTGGAGGAACTGGAATACTCAGTGAGGGACTTGTTGAGGGCATTCCAGGATGTAATGGAAGCTCTGCCGGGAATGATGGACATTAGAATGGCTAATTTTCTTGATGCACACGCCGCGCAACAGCAAGTTGCCCCAGCACCGGGAGTTCCCGCGCCGCAGGTGCCTGCCCAGCCACCGGCCGGACCTCCGCAGCAAGTAGGGCCTGCGCAACAGCCGATGCCGGGGGGTCCGCCAGGACCGGGCCTGCCGCCACCGATGAGGCCAGTGCCAGCGGGACCACCGGTTGCTCCGGGTCTCCCTCTCAGGGGAGTTCCGGGGCAGCTGGGACCGTTGGTAAGGACTCCACGGCCCAGACCCAAGGATTTACTGGAGGCTACCTTTGACGGCAACCCAGAGGAACTCGCCTTCTTCACGGTGAGGGTGCACAAATTCGTAGAAGAGAGCCGACACCTCTTCCGAAATGAAGCTGCTCTCATCGATGTCATCTCGGCGAGACTGAAAGGAGACGCCGCCACATGGTATGTGGGACTGCACAATGACCGCGGTCCGGAACTTTTGAATTTGCGAGCATTCATGTGGGCGCTGCGGGCTCGGTTTGAGGATGTCAACGCGAGCCAAAGGGCCAAAGCATTTCTCCGCACCTATCGTCAGAATAAGAAGTCGGTCCGTGAATACACGCTGGAATTCCACAAGCAGGCAGCAAAGCTCCGAGACTACCCCGATCACATTTTGGCTGAAATGTATCGATTGGGACTCAACGCGGACATCCGAGAAACGGTTTTGAAGACTGTTAATCCTATCTCCCTGATGGCTTGGACCCAGGAAGCTGAAAATGCAGAGGATCGGCTAAACACCATCAAGCTCGAC